ATTAATTGTGAAATACTAACGGAAAGTGGTGAACGGTGTGATAGGAAACAAACTCCGGCGACGTAGGAAGTAGCTCTCACGGAACGGGAGCTTACGTTTAGCTATTTAGGGAGTACTTCGGCCAAGGCCAACCAAGTAAGTGGCCTTACTATAGGATAGGCTAAATAATTGTATGAGTTATGATGATGTGTGGATTATGATGCTTGATGATATGTGCGGTATATACATATTTTGTTGAGTGACGCTTGATATGTTTGACGCACGTTGTGGCATTATGATGAGCATGATGATTGCATGATTTTTACCTTAATATGATGTTGTTTTCCATATTGAGCATGTCAGATGATGATGAGTGCCATATTGCATCATGTCGTTAGATCGACGTGGGACACAACCCTAAGAGCATGAAAATGATATTAATATAAATATCCACGAGTATGCGTTACCTAGAGTAACAAAGAGATGAGACTAGAGGGTTGTGTCAGAAGAGACATTACGATGGATTTAGAGGGACCTCATGCATTTTGTATGATCATAGCATAGGGCTACTTCCCCTAGAGATGATGAGCGCGAATGCGCACAGGTGCGAAAGCACACAGATGAGGGTGTTCATGAGGCGCATGACACTATGAGGTTCCGCTGACCTCCGGACGTCGCTACAGATTAGCTTGACCAGAGGGTCCAGGGGATGTGCGAGCGCCCTGGGGACTCACACTCGCACGTGTGAGTCGTGTGTAGGGAAGTACTACACATCCAATTTGTCCGAGACTGGAGGCCACCCCTAAGATGATTAGAGATAGGTCCCTAAATCATGATTGCATGTGTTTGCATTTGCATGGCCCCTATAGTGGGGCCACTTACTGAGTATTCTTTGAAATACTCAGGCCGTGTGCTACATCATTTTTTAGGTAAAGGCGAGGCGCACTTGTACGGAGGACGGCGGCATCGCGAGCAGAGACTGTGGCACGTGCATAGGATAGACTCATATTTAAATTTCTAGTCTTAGTTAGAATAGGTTGTTTTGCATTTCATTGTTTTAAATTATTTTGTATTTGTTTTTGTTTCTCTAAATTTCAGTATTTCATATTTAAACACGTAAGACCATGGCAGTGTTTTTCAGAGGAGAAGTTGTTTTAAACGTTTTTTTTTTCTGAAATTTTCATTATCAATTATGTTCATGTAAGAGTTATATTTTCGCATTATAGATGAGCATGAGACGTTAGTAGCGACTCTGAGTATGTGGAAATTTAGGGTCGTTACAATAGGAACGTACCCTAACCATATCATTATATCAATCATATCTTAGTCATATCATTACATTACGTTTATCGCATCCTTCTCATATCGTATCTCACACATATTATTGAACACATTATAACATAAGAGTTATCATATCATTCACATATCATAATACATACATAACATATCATAGTCATATCGATTCATAAACAATTGCATATATCAAATTTATGACACGTGTAGAATCACAGAGCACGTGCCAACATCAAATATAATCATGTCAATAGTAAGGTCACTTATTTGATTAGCTTAGGCTGGTGTCACCAATTTATCCTTAATTTAAGTTCGATTTTGTCCTTTGTATCCAAGTCAACCTATATGAACCCATGACATCAATTTCAAGTTCAATTCTCTAAATTTTAAAATAGTACATACGTTAAACTTCATGGGAGCATTAAAAATTTGAGTAGATTCTTATAAAATTCTATTTTCATTAAAAATCTCATTTTCTATTATTACTGTTTTAGGGAAGATATTGTTACTGTTATATGAAAGAATTTGATATATTTCTTGCCCTCATATTTCCTATGTTTAATTATGTTGATCAAATCTTCTTTTTACTATTTGTATTTACTCTATTAGATTTTCTTTTTTCCACGTCTTTACTCTATTTTATTTTTTAATTTGGCTTCCCTTTTACTATTTTTCTCATTTTAATTATGTTCACCAAATCTTTTCATTTATTTTAATTCTTAGGGGTTTAATTCTGTTGACAGAAATTCTTGGCCAATTTTTAATAGATTATATGACTATTTGGCCAATTTTTAATAGATTATTTGACTATTGGGAGTCATTTACTGAAACTCATATAATATAATGATAACTAAACTCTTATTAATTCTAACATGATTTATAAAGTAAGGAGGAGTCTGATTTTAAATAATTGGATAAAGAAGAGGAAATCTGATTCTGGGTGATTTCTTGTAACACAAGATGCTAACTAAAATCTAAATGATTGGATAAAATATATATATATATATATATATATATATATATATATATATATGACATATGACTCAAAAGGATAACAAAATGAAACCTCTAAATCTGTAGAACCACTAATACATTCTGGATTGGTTGAGGTGTTGATGAGAGATATTTGAGGAGGAGGAGAAATTGGTGAAGAGAGTGATGAGTTATTTTCTTTTTTTCATTTTATTATTATTATTTTCAGTCGTTACAAAACTTATAAATAATGGTTTGTTTAAAATAGTATAAAATATATGGAGGGTTGTTTGTTAGTTTATTCATATTATAAATAATGTGTTTAAAAATAGTATAAAATATATGAATAGGCTTTTTAAATATTATAAATAATATATTTAAAAATAATATAAAATATATGAATTATTGTTGCTTAGTTTATTCCTATTATAAGTAACGTATTTAGAAAAGTATGAAAAAATTAAGATATTTTTTCATCCTTAAAATGAAATAATGAAATAATAAAATAATAATTTTTTCATCCTGAAATAATAAAATAATAAAATAATATGGTATAAAGCTGAAATCAAACCTATCCAATTACCACTTTGATGGACATAGGATGACGTTAATCATCTTAATATATTTTATAAAAAAAAATTTGGGTTCGGGTCAACCCAACATTTTTTTCAATGAACCCGAAACTCGAACCGAATATATTTGATTTTAGAAAATGAACCCAACCCAAATTGCTACCTCAACTGAACCCAACCCCTATAATTCAGGTTGGGTTGGTTTAAATTGTCGTGTTGTTAGGTTCAATAGACACCCCTATATAAAACTATGTATGTTCTTTGTAAAACATATTTGAAAAATGGAGTAAAAAGAGTGGTTTTACTTTGGCTCATGACTATTTATTTATTTATTTTTTCTAATTTTATGTAGTTTAGATGGTAGGTTTAGAATCATACAATTTTACTTGGGAAGGGATTTAAATATCAAATAAGTATTATTGCCTTGAAAAAAGATGGATGAACTTAGATAAATGAGGTTAGTCAGCATTTATATCATCATTATAACTAGTTGTATAAGTGATTCACAACTACTCATGGCTACATATTTCAATTAAAACATGACCATCCACACCCTTATTTATCCTAGTAACACAACTATTCATAATTATCTATACCCATAACACATGAACTATTAGCTATGTAACTAGTCGCTTTTGGTTTAATTATGGTGTCTATTTAGATCGATACACCCAAATTAAATAATAAAAAAAAAGGTTAATATCGATAAGCTTTTAAAAAGTCCTAAAAAAATACCCTTGAACTTGTAAGATGTTTCAAAAATACCTTTTAAGTTTAAAAAATGTTTACAAAATACCTTTAAATTTTTTAAAATTTCATTAACACCTTCGAACTTTATATATATATATATATAACTTAGTTAAAAACTAAATGTTTTTAAACTTTATTTTTTAAATTCAGAAATATTTTTACTGTTGGTACAAAATTTCAAAATTAGTTATGAACATTAAAAAATAACCTTAAAAAATTTGGATATAAAGTATGAGGTAACAATATAAGGTTTTCGTCCATATATATAGATATTAAGAATTTTTTTAGTAGAAAAGGTTAATGCTACTTTTAAAATTTCATGGGTATTTTATAAATATAGTATTAACGGTAAAGGTATTTTTGAACTTTGTTTTAAAAAAATTATTAATTAAACTTTATAAAATTAAAATTTATTTTTCAAAACTATTAAAAGTTTAAGGTTATCTTTCAAGAGCTTTTAAGTATTTTTAAAACAAAATACAATTTCCATTTGAAATGCTTTTTAAAAAGGTTGAAGTATATTTTATTTTTATGCATTTTAAGTATTTTTTAGATTATTAATTTAGTAAAAAAGAAAAGAGATAATGGGTAAAAAGAAAAGAGAGAAAGGGTGAAAATGGAAGAGGATTTGATTGTTTTATTAACACGACAGGTCTGTTATGATGCCATGCTAACTCAACTCATTGATCATAAATGCATACTTTTCCTTTTTGAAAAAAAAAATCTAAGAGAGGAAGAAATGCGTGATAAAAAAAAAACGAAAAAGTAGAAGCTATCATTTGCCAGATAGATAAAAAGGCACATAAAACACGTTTTTAAACAAATGTAAGAGAGGGAGAGAGGCGTGATAAAAAAAACTAGAAAGTAGAAGCTATTATTTGCCAGATAGATAAAAGGGCGTGTTTCATTCATCCGTTCACATTAATTTCTTTATTTTAATTACTTACTTAACTAATTTGCTACATTCTTATAATCGATCCACCTACTATTCTTATTTGAATATTTAAAATTTTAATCCCTCCAATTTATTTTTTTATTTAGGGACTTTCAAATAATAAAATTTATAATATACTTCAAATTTTGTAATAATTTAAAATTTATAAATTTGTCAAAAGAAGACATGTCCACCTATTTCATTTGACAATTCAAAGAAGAACCTGATTTGATCGAACTTAGTGCACTGATTTAGGAAAAAAGTCTAAGACTTAGAACTCCCGTATATTCATATAAATTCCCACCACCTATACAATCTATGGGAATGAAATAAAACGGTACCAAATTAGAAACAATGGTCAAAGTTTATATTCATAGCTACAAACACTTGTTTTTGAATTCACCAAAATACAAACTTATCCTGCGTGATGCCACATATGCTTACATTTTGAACGACAACCAAATATGTAAAACCTAAAGTTTTTGTTAAAGGGACAAAAATGAAAAGAAGTCCATTAATTCCATTACTAATGTTAACTCCCATACGTATTGCTATAATTCATATGCATGAGAGAGGGGAACGTAAAACTAAAGAACTCCTCTTCCTTTAAAGCCTAATATGTCATAGTGATGAATACGTAGATTCACCAAATAGATATCAATTTTGCTTCTTTCTACAAAATCCAATCACAATATGGAGCTTCTTAGTACCCCAACCTAACATTTTCCTTTTCCAAAACCTTCATCTTTTGCCTCTTAAAGGAAAATGGAAAATATCCTGTGGGTTAAGCCATGGAATCATTGGACAACTGCATCTACTCACAACCCCACCTTCTTTTGTTTGATTCTTAGACCGGCCGGATATTTTGAAACCTGAACTTTATGACAATAAGTATGGCTTAAAATATGTAGATACCTGTGAAAATGTTTGCTTAAGCCACCACTTGGCCTAAATGGTGGTGAAAGCTCTCTATTTATAATCATTTATATAATAGAGAATTATGTAAATTACAAATAATAGGGAAAGAATAATAAATGAATACAATATATTTGCCTTTAATAAAAACGCAAATATGGTAAGCCGTAATGTAATTAAACGGTCAAATATCCTTAACCGCCTAAACTTTCATCAAATTTTACTATTTTGTTTAACTTTCCACGGTTTTGAACCAATGGGCAAACAAACAGATAAGATTTACATAGAGAGGAAGAGTTAGGAGAAGACACATGATGAAGCATGTAGCAGAAAAATGTTGCAGGTTCCATGGGGATGGTGGCGGAAAGAAATCAGTTGCTTAAAGTTACATAATCTGATGAGGCCTAAGAGGACAAAAACAAAATTTAAGGCTGTTTTTATGGTGTAAGCAGTAAGCTCTGTTTTTGGTGCCATGCAAAATGGCCTACCCATACCCTTCCTTCTACATATCAATCTTAACATCATTCTCCTTCTCCTTTTACACGGTTAGCTTTTGCTTTTTCAACGCTATAGATTTTTTTTTTAGAAATTTCTGTTATTGATCATCATCTTCTTCTTCTTCTTCTTCTTCACTCCTCATCTATATAAAATGGCTTCTCCACTCTCACAAACCACTCAGCCTCGGAAGAGAAAGGGAAACAGAGAGAGCTATGGCTGGTGGTAGTGATTTGTTGCCACTCTTGGCTATGGTGGTTGTCCAATTCCTGTATGCAGGCTTGAATATTACATCAAAGTTAGCCATGGAGTTTGGGATGAATCCAATGGTTCTAGTTGCTTACAGGCAGATGTTTGGTACCATAGCCATAGCTCCTTGTGCTTATTGGTTTGAGAGGTATGTCTACTTTTTTACATCTCATTTTACTTCATAACTTGAGTTATTAAGAGTGTATATATATACTATTAACAAACAAATGACTGCAGAAAAGGGAGACCCAAGATTACAAAACCTATCCTGTTTCAGATTCTACTGTGTTCCTTAACTGGGTAAGCAAAACCACTGCTAAGCTTTGTAAAACACTAAATATAAGAAGATTCTACTCTATAAACCTATAAACATGACATGCAGGGCAACAGGAAATCAAGTGTTTTACTATGTTGGGTTAAAATATTCATCCCCCACCATCGCATGTGCATTGACCAATGTCCTGCCTGCTGCCACTTTTCTCCTCGCTCTTCTTTTCAGGTATCTAAAGTTTCCTTCTCTTTTCACTCCCCATTTTAAAATCATTGCCACCCATTTCTGCACTGATTTTCAATACAATTAATCTTGTTTGGTAGACAAGAATCTGTGGGGATCAAGACAACCCCAGGTGCAGCCAAGGTGATTGGGACTGTTGTGTGCGTCGGAGGGGCAATGTTGCTGTCGTTCTACCATGGACAAACCATCAACCTGGGTGAATCTGGGATTCATTGGAAGTATGCCGAGATGATGAGGGGGGGAAGTTCCAGCAGCCAAGGCGGCAGCGCCATCTGGGGCTCTCTCTACTTGATCATAAGCTCTGTTGCTTGGGCGGCTTGGTTTGTAATCCAAGTCAGTGTGCTTTTTAACTTTGCTTCTTTAACAACTTTGCTTCTTTCTCTTTTCCTGAGCCAAATCTAAGACGCTACTGTTAATTCCTGCAGGCAAGGGTTAACTCTCAGTTTCCAGCTCCCTACACGAGCACGGCTATCATGACTTTCATGGCAAGCATTCAATGCGGAGCAATCGCCGTTGGCATTGAGCACAACACAGCTGCAGCTTGGTCATTGAAAAGTCCAATCCGCCTTGTTGGTGCTCTCTATGCGGTATCATTGTTACTTCTCCAACTAACCTTCTCCTGAACAGAATTGAGAATCTCTGACCATCAACAATCTGATGAAGAAATCTCAATTACTGATTCCTTTTCTTTTCACAATACAAAGGATTCGCAGATGTTGTCCATTTCAAACTAAACACACATCAATTTGCTACTACAACCTACACAAAAAGCTTAATTAATACTAATGACCATAATAATCTTCTCCTCTCTCACTAAGTTTTTCATTTTCAGGGAGTGGCGTGCTCAGGGGTTGCATTTTGCCTAACCTCCTGGAGTATCCAAAAGAAAGGTCCTCTCTATGCCTCAGTTTTCAACCCCTTCTTGCTCATTATCGTGGCTATTTTCAGCTGGACCTTCTTTCAAGAAAAGTTATACGTAGGAACGTGAGTATCTAGAAGTTCCGATCAACAAGTTTATATTGTATATTGAACTTGGGTTCAAATGCCAACAAAAAACATGGTTGTCTCAGTGTTGTAGGGTCATTGTTGATTGTTGTTGGGCTATATGCTGTCCTATGGGGAAAGACCAAAGAGGTGAAACTACAACAGGTTATTGAAATGGCGGCAGTAGCAGAGGCAAAGCTGGATGAGTGTAATACCAAAGATGACTTGGAAGAACAGTCGTATGTGGCTTCAAATGGAAATATTCTCCATAAGTAATAGATGAGAGAAAGGAGTAAGAAAGGTAATACAGATCAAAATCCATTCACTTTCAACAGAAGACAGAGTTAAGAAAGAACATGTTCAAAGGAAGGCATAGCATCTACAACGGTTGTATCCCTTTTATGAAATGAAATTTTACGTTGTTCAAGTCTCAATATTCACTACTTTACATTCTAGAGAAAAATCATCATACAAAAAACTCATTGTAGCTTATCAAATTACAACAACTGTTATTATCCTCCAAAATGTGCATGTTCATGATGATAATCCTTAAGTAATGAAAATACCAGAAGGCAGCAGCAGAAATGGAATCAGTGATTTAAGTATGAGGAGAATGGAATCATGTTTAGAATCAGTGATTAGTCAAGCTCACCAGGTTTAAAAAACTTGAGACGGCGGGGTAATTCCGATTCCGATTCCGATTCCAGGAGGCGTGACATTGTAAATGATAATTTAAAAAACTTGATTATAGGGACTTACCAGCACCAATGGATCCGAGAAGAAGGCAGGGCGATCAACCAGCGTTGAGGATGAGGGGGTTGGAACCCTCCATGGATGACGATGGTGGAGGATTGAAATTGGGGGCACACAAATGGAGTTTTTTAAAACCTCTATCCAAGAGGAAACAAATGGAATTCAGAAATTTGGTAGGTGGGTGGACATAGAACGGGAATCTTTTAAAAAAAAAATGTTAAAAAACTTGTTTGGCCCATGCAGGTTTCGAACCTGCGACCTTCGCGTTATTAGCACGACGCTCTAACCAACTGAGCTAATAGGCCACTTGTGTCAGTTTTTTCTATTTATTATTAATATATTTTTTATTGTTACAGAGAAATGGGAATGAGACATTTCTTTTTTTTTCTTATTTTATTTCTTTTTAATACATTTATTTACTTTATTAAATTCCAAATGGGAATCAATTTTTTTCATCTTATGAACTAAATTCCAAACCAATGAGGGGGCAATATTTCAATTTTGTTAATTATGGGGCTATTTTTCTAAATTTACAATCTTTAGGGTCGTTTTTTAAAATTGCCAATTTTTAGAGTTATTTTTATAAATTTCGTGTGTTAAATTCCCAATTTACCCTTTTAGAGCTACTTTTCCAAAAATACCCATTTCAGGGCTACTTTTCCAAATTTTTACATAACATAGAATTAAACTTAAACTTCACACCTAAAACCCTTCATAATTCATTTGCATAGCTTTTATACAGCCTTTGCATGTATCAAATAAAAAATTATCTTAACACTTCTATTTGAGATTTTTAAGATGCATGTTGTTTTATATGTTTCCACTATGTTAGGAAAGAGAATGAGATGTTGTGGTCTATGCTCTTGGTGATTGAACTTGCATAAACGTTTAGATAATATATTCCATGCTTTAGATGATTTATAGGTTATCTCCCTTACAAAACTGCATGAATGTGCTAAGTTAATAATAAGACACTAAAGTTACTAGGATTGGATGCGATGAGAGTAGAGACGTTTATTTAACCCCCGAGGTGAGGATTCTTGGTTTAGACGGGGAATGGAGGAATGAGTGAACTTTGGAGACTTTTAGTCCAATTGTCAAAGCATCAACCATATGATATGAATCACCCTCACCACATTAACCGTTGCATTTGCCAACTACAGCTAAACAATGTTTTTCTCGGTAGCAAGCTAGGCAAAACCTTATGGCTTCCTTGATAAAGCACATTCTAACCATGTACGACTGCAGAAATGGCTAATGAGCATAAGTGAATGGTCGTAGATGGAGAAAGGAGAGGGGACAAGGCATGAATTTCTCAATAGCAAGCTAGACAAAACCCTATGGCTTTTGACAAAGCTCATTCTGACCATTTACAACGATAGAAAGGGTTAATCAATGTAAGTGAATGATCATAGATGGAGAAAGGAGAGGAATCGAGGCGTGTCTGACCATGTAAGAGGCAAAAAGGGCTAATCAACATATATATATATATATATATATATAAATAAGAAGCTTTACTGTAATGATCCTAAATTTCCACATACTCAGAGTTGCTACTAACATCTTATGCTCATCTATAATGCGGAAATATAACTCTTACATGAACATCATTTATAGCATAAACTTCGAAGAACTCTTAAAATAATTTTTTCTCTCGAAAACACCGCCACAGTCTTCCGTGTTTATTTAGAGAAAATAAAAGCAATACAAAATAATTTAAAACAATGAAATGCATAACACCCTATTCTAATCCAAACCTAGAAATTTAAATATGAATCTACCCTATGCACGTGTCACAGGATCTGCTCACGATGTTGCCATCCTCCGAACAAGTGCGCGTTGCCTTTACTTGAAAAATGATGTGGCACACGGCCTGAGTATTTCGAAGAATACTCAGTAAGTGGCCCCACTATAGGGGCCATGCAAATGCAAACACATGCAATCATGATTTAGGGACCTATTTCTAACATCATACGGGTGGCCTTCAGTCTAGGACAAATTGGATGTGTAGTACTTTCCTACACACGACTCACATTTGCGAGTGTGAATCTCCAGGGCGCTCGCACCCCCTCTGGACCTTCTGGTCAAGTTAATCTGTAGCGACATTAGGAGGTCAGCGGAACCCCATAGTGTCATGCGCCTCATGAACATCTTCATCATCATATGGTGTGTATTCACACTCATCATCATATTGTGTGTGTAACGACCCAAAATTTTCCACTTAATTTAAGGTTGCTACTGTATACATATCATAAACATTGAATATGAAAATACTTCATTTAAATTCCATAAAACGTAACCTTTATCTTAAAACACAGTCATGGACTTATGTGTTTCGAAAACATCTTTAAAACGACACAAAAAAAAAACTAAATAAAATAAATAAAGGTTTAAATTCAAAACATCATATTCTAGCCCAAGTCTAAGAAAATAAATATCACTACCCTATGCATGTGTCATGGTCTTGAGTTGCGATGTCGTCGTTAATCGTACATGAATGCCTTGCCTTAGCCTGAAAAATGTACCACTATTGGGGGTTAAGTGCAAGAACATGTGAATACAACGACGGGACCTATCATTTAAATTCATTTTCCTACGATATTGTCTTAACGGGTAACTTGGATGTGTACCATATACTCTACACACAACCCATACGTGCGAGTATGGACTCACCAGTCAGTTCGCACACCGCTGAGCCATTTTCCTTGTCGGGCGAGCATACTCCGGGAGTCCTTAGGCCAGACACCCATAAGAACTAGTAACCGCCACAACAACATTATGTAAAGCAAAAATAATCGTACCCCTGCCGGCAGCATTATGTAAAACATAATAATCGTACTCCTACCGGCAGCATTTTGTAAAACATAATGATCGTACCCCTGCCCATCGTGATTAAATAGAGTATCCCCCAATGCATGAGCACACATAATGCATGAGGTCCCAATATTTTTCCATTTTCGATATTATTAAATATAACCCCGCTATCGTTTTACATTCATGTCATATCTTTTCTCATTTTTCAGTTCTCATATCATGCATAATTCTAGCGAGGTTATATTTCATTTCATTTATTGTGATATCATATCATTCATAACATGCTGTATACATACAATTTAGAAAACATAACATAACGCTCCATGCTTTTAGCATGTCATTTCATAATGTGCCATTCATACAACAATTACCTCGATGATCACACAAAACAATCTAAACATAACATGTCACATCACAATATATCATATCATAAACATGTAACGACCCGGGAAAAAGAAAAAGAAAAAAAAAACTCAGTCACCAGAAAACCCACGAGTTTTTTGGCGACCGCCGAGTTTCGCAAATCCCACGCAAAACGATAGCCACACCTCGCTCAACCTTCAGCCCACGACTCCCAGAACCTATAAGAATCCTTGCAAACAAAGAAAAGAAAGAAAATACGAGAGAGAGATTTTGGATAAACGCCGGCGAGTTTCCAATTTCTCCAACGAGTCCCAAACCACCAGAAAATCGACACCAAATGATTAGTTACCACCACGAGAAGGATCCTAACAAAAGCACAATAACTCAAGGTACGTTTTGTGCCTTTCCATAAGCGCCGTCGTCGGTAACTGAGGTTGAAAAATTGAGTTTTCCTAAACGTTCTTAGATCTAGGGTTTTAGGAACTTTTAGGCCGCAAAACTTCGAGGAAGGAAAGAAGGACGATAAACAAAGAGAAAAAGGAAGAAATATGACTGAAATCGGCAACGGAAAGGCCGCGAAAAGGAGAGAGAAGACGCGCCAAAAAATCGGCCGAAGTTGGGTAAAGAAGAAGAGATCCATTGTAACGACCCTAAAATTTACCTATTTAATCTAAGGTCATTACTATACCTTGGAATGCAGAATTACATTAAATGGGTCATGATTATAAATGCAACTTACACTCGCCTTTTAATACCTTATGAAAGAGAATACGGATACAAGGGAAAGAAAGGAAAAAGAACGATATTGAAAAAAAAAAGGAAAAGGAACAAAACTGAAATGAATGTCTTATACTACCCTATGGTTTATTATGCAAATACAATTCAACCTATACTAATGATGCAAACCAAATTCAACCTAGACTATGAAATGGAAAAACAACTACCCTATGCATGTACCATGGTCTCGGGGTGTACGATGCCGCCGTCGATGCCACATGGGTGCCTTGCCCTTATTTGAAAAAGTAAAATAGTATGAGGCTTGAGTATTTCTAGAATACTCAATAAGTGACCCCCTATCGGGGTTATGCAACAATCACATGCAATGAAATGATGAGACCTATCTTTCGTTTCGTTTCGTTTTCCCTACGGTGCTGTCCTAACGGGTAAACTTTGGACGTGTACCATATACTCTACACACAGCCCATACGTGCGAGTATGGGCTCACCAGCTACTTTGCACACCGCTGGGCCACTTTCCTTATCCGATGGGCATACTCTGGAAGCCCCTTACGTCGGAACCCGTTAGAACTAGTAACCGTCACAGCAGCGCTATGCAAAGCATAACGATTGTTGTCCTGCCATTGGATGTACGCGTCCGTACCCTCGTGATGGGATAGGGGTATCCCCCAGATGCATGAACATACACATAATGCATGAGGTCCCACTACTTCTACATTTATCATTAATGAACATAACCCCCTGTCACGTTCCATGCTTCATGTCATTCTCATTTTCAATTTACGTTTCATACATATTCCTATCGAGGTTACGATTCCAGGCAGTTTACCGTATTTCATGTCATACAATTCATGCTTTTTACATTCAAATATTTCATACAATCATGCTATAACCATTCAAGAACAACATTTCGTTACATGCATCACATATCACATCAGACTGAACAGCATACATAGCATACATTCACGTTCACATGATTACGTACTTAAGCACAATAATCTAGCATACAATTTATTGACACGTGCAAATCCATGGGCATGTGCCAACATACAACAAATAATGTGTAACCTACAACGGGTGAGCCACTTACTTGGTAGGCCTTAGCCGAAGTATTCCCTAAAATATAAGCGTAAGCTCCTAGCTCCTCGTGAACGTTCTACGCTTCCGTTGGTGGTTGGTTCCTATTGGATAATCATCTTCGTTAGTATTTCACAAACATAATTAATTACCAACTTGAAC